GTGTGCGGGGAGCGAACCTTAGCGACCGCCCAGAAGCTTTCTGAGCGAACCAATCGGGCCAGGATCATCAGCATATGTCCCCTCCACAACATCGTGGGCGTTTGAGCGGTATTTGAGGAGCACCGCCACTCTGAAGTTCGGCCGGGTGGTCTGCAGACCCCCCCCCCCGGAGCAGCAGAGGCTCCGTGGGGTCGAAAAGTCGACGCTGGGAGTCGCAATCGTCAAACCGTCGCAACGCCACGCGGTATGCACGTACCGCCCACATCCCCTCCACCGCTGAGCAGGCGCAGATCGACCGCCGGGCCGCGTAGCCGTCGTTAAGGAGCGGTTTTTGGAGCCGTACGAAGAGGTCCCAGACGGGCGAAGATGCGGTTTTTCGATGACCACGCGCGATGTGGTATCTGCTTTTTGCTAAAAACGGGCCGCCTGGTGCAACAGTACTAGTGCAACACGCGACCACACTTAGAGCTCCACAGTAGATGTTTTTGACGAGCGCCGACGGCGTCACGGTCGCCGGAGTGGACGCACTGCACACACACTGTGACCGTGTCGACGGTGTGACAATGAGCGACACAACCGTCGGCGCCGCGCTATCGCGGCGCCCCGCAGTCTACACGCCTCAGGCGCACCCCTGAACGCGCCATGGGCGCGCAGATACACCGCAGCGCCGAGGAGAATCCACACCTGGCCGGTCCCGAGCCCCGTCCTGGGCCTCCAGGCGGCCGAAGATCGGCGTTCGGGCGGGATGAACTTGTCGGAAATGGAGCAAACTTGGCGCGGCTCGCCGCTCGCGGTACCGGGTGAGCCTGGATAGGGCAAAATCTGGGGTGAATACGAGGGACAGAGGTCGCAAGTTTGTCGCGCAAGTTTGCGCGGCGTGGCGCTGCCCCGCTGCCGAGGGCGCCACCAACCCGTGGCGGCGGCATTTCCAGCCCAAATTGGGCGTTCCGTGCGCCTTGCCGGCGAGAGTGGACGGGCTGTGCATCGTGGGGGGGGTGAGTGGGAGGGAGGTGGTCGTGTGCCTACTTTGTCGGCCGCGCGCGAGGAGAATTCTGGGTGTGAGGCGCGCAGGAGGCGAGGGTGGGCGCGCCGGCGGTCGAGCCGCCGAACAATTCGACGTGGCGCAGCTCCGTGCCGGCGGGGACGACCAAGCACATGATGTCGGCGGCGGTCGCGCGACGAGCGAGAGCCGCAGGGGCCCTCTGAGAGCCAGGCGCCGAAAAGCAGCGATGAGTGGCGCCGCGATCAGCCACCTGTGGGCGGTCATCGGGGTCGCGGTCAAGCTCGCGACGGGGTAAATCTGGTGCTTCTAGTATCACTGGTGGCCTGGGTGTGCAGCAGCATCGCTCAAAAAGAGGCAAAAAACTCGGCAACTGTTTGGAGTGTCTACTTTCTCGACACACCGTTCTCGGCCCGGCCGGAAAGCTGGCTGGTGGTCGCGCGCAGCGCGTCGGCGCGCTCCAACTGGTTGGGCACCTCGGCTGGGTCCATCGGCAAGAGGCCCGCGCCGTCGGGCGGCCCCGGGAGCGCATGATGCCCCTCCGAGAGGCGCTGACGCCCCGCCGAGATCGCGCTGGTTTGGCACGAAAAACGAGAAGCGCGAAGGGGGGGGTCCGAATAAGATACATCATAGCGCCAGTCCCTAGCCCAGTGTTGTATGTATGTAGAAAGATGAACAACAGTCAAAAAGAAAGAAAGAAAGAAAACAGACAACCCAAGGGAGGGATGGGAGAACGGCACGCCGCCACCACACAGGGATTTTAAGGAGAGGAGTGTGATGCGCTCAGGCTCGGACTGTTGTGCGAGGGAGCTTTGTCAATGTACGTACTTTTAGCTTACTGGGAGAAAAGAGAGAGGGGGGTTGTGTTCTCTATCTCTCAATGTATGTACTTTTAGCTTACTGGGAGAAAAGAGAGAGGGGGTTGTGTTCTCTAGGCCCCTAAGGGCCCTACGCGCGGCGTGAGAGCTCGGAAGCGAGCTTTGCACGGCGATCGAGGATGGCACTCTCTCTCTCAATGTATGTGGCTCTTACGTACATTTGTTGTACGTACGTACTTATAGCTTACTGGGAGAAAAGAGAGAGGGGGGTTGTGTTCTCTATCGTGGAGAAGCAGGTTGAACTCTCTCTTGTTGTAGGGGGGGGTACTCTCTCTCTCTTGTTGTAAAATTCTGGTGCGCCGTAAATGAGTAGACGCGCGCCGTAAATGGTGCTCGTCCCGGAGCGTCGCGCAGACGACGGCCGCTGCTACAAGCCGCATTGGGAGCGCATTTTCAACTCCATCATTGGCGGCCTCTTCATGGAGAGCCTGATACCGCGTGGCAGTGTGCTGGACGCCTGTATGCTGGTCCTCTTTGAACGATCCGCGCGTGAGGTAGCATAGGGCCTTGTTGGCAGCAGCCAGCTTGTTGCGCTGCTTCGTTGCGATGAGCTGATTGGGATCGCAGAAGTGCATGCCAAGCACCGCCACGATCTTGAAGCAGAACACATCGCAACCGCATCGTCCGCACTGCCATCGGCATGCCGCGCCCGCCGCTTCGCCGCAGCCGCCTTAAGGCACGCATAGCGGCAGCACATGGTACGGTGCGCGTACTTGAGCAGGCGTTGCGCGCCGCAAGTAGCGCACTGGCCCTGGGAGACGGCGATATGGCGTCGTGCGCGGCATACGCTGGTCGGGACCGCGTCCAGGTATTTTTCGGGTAAACCTGGACTTTTGCAGGTATACCCGGGTTTTACCCGGAGTTGGCCTCGTGTCGTCTAAGTTCATGGCCCCCGGCCTTCCAGCGTCTAAGTCTGAGCCCGGCTCCGTGCGGGGGCTAAGTTGAGCGCTCGCTCGCTGCAGAGGCTAAGTGTAGAGCGACCCTCTAGCCCTACTACCCAACCATTGCGCCAGGGACGTCCGTATGGCAAAATCGGCGTGAATTCGCTATGAAAACGCTTCCAACCCATCAAGAGCGGGCTCAGAAGAGACGATGCTAACCCAGGATCACCAGGGCACCTTAGGGTATCGAAATTTTCCACCCCCCCACCCCCTCCCGCTCCCCCGGCCCGCGCCTCTCCCCCTAACTAACACACCGGCACCACCGCGGACACCCTCACCAAGCCTCTCCCCCCGCCTCGCCGCTCTCGCGGTGCAAGCCGACTCCTGGCGACCGTCCTGGTCAGCGGCCCTTGCCAGGACGGTCCGACCGCCGCGCTCGCTCCGGTGAGCGAGCACTACAGTAGCACACCGCACCTGCACCGCCTGTAGTGGCACCGGCACCAGCCTCCCCAGCCCCGCCTCTCCAACGTCTCACTCGCCACCCTGCTCGCTGCCGCCCCGCCCGTCGCCACTGCCACTAATCTGCCGCTCCGCAGCCCGCTCCACCTTCCCGCCCGCAGCGCCTCCCGTGCCGACGCAGCCTAGAGACAACAGAGCTGGGTCAATATCACCGCGGGAACGCCTCTTCTCGACGTGGGACAGAGCCTCCTCCACAACGTCGAGAGAGCGACGGCCAGCATGGCGCGGCGCAACGTCGCGCGGCAGTGGCCGCAGTGGCTCGAGGCGGGCAGCGCCGGCGACAACGAACGCGGAGCGCGCGGCGACAGCGGTGGCGAGAGCCGAGGGACGTGACTACACCCTCGTGCGCCGTGCGCGCGCAACCTCGTCAGCCAACCACGCGCCGCACCAGCGCCGCGAGCGACGCCTCGAGGCACAACGTGCAGCCGCCGCCATCCCCCGCCGGCGCCCTCGCCGCCGCCGCCGCCGCCGATTGGCTTCATTCCCTCGGGGCGGGCGCCCCCGCCCGCTAACTGTAAGCCCCCCACAAGGCCTGCGGCCTTGGCTACCCGGCGGGTCCGCCTCTCCGCCCTGGGGGGGCCTTTCGGGCTAGCCTGGCGCCGACCACCCTCTCTTGCTTCGAACACGCCGGCGCGAACCTTGTTTATTTTCCGGGTTTTGCGCCCATCCGAATCGCTTTACGTGGGTGGGGTGGACTCTTGTCCGCGCC